ACACACACACACCCACACTCAAACTGGAGGCCAGCTTGTCTGTAGATATGTTTAACGTCTCCAGTGATTACTTTACAGGATGTTTGGTGGGCACTGTTGATGTTCTTTCCACTGAGAAGTACTGTATGGCTGTATAGTGTGCTTCTCTTTTTGACTCTAACAACGAATGTCGTTGTGTGATTGGAGTGCATAGTCCAAAGCCTTGTGTTATGTACGGTAGTTACATATCAGTGTGTCACACCGTGTCTGAATATCTAATCTGAATAGTGTAGTCCGAGTATCTCCATGGGATATTATGTACATGCAGACGGGCAAATTGCTGTGTACCCTCCTGTGCAGTCATACACAAGTACTACTAATCGTGTGACTTAGTGCTACGTGACTTTATGGAGAAGTGAGTCCATTTGGAGAAAGTGGGAACAAGTCTGAAAGCTTTTATAAATGTGCAACTTAGGATATATTTTATAGCTCTGTATGTTAACCTCGTAGAGCTCCGTTCAGATTTTTTATATATCACCACACTTATGAATTCTTTCAAATCATAGACCGAAAAAGACAAAAGAAAAACAACCGCGATCAACAGGCTGGAATGTAGCCACAAGGTAGACAGTTAGTTGAGTTTTCAGTTTCTCAGGTGTTAAGTGTTGTTTTTTTGTTTTTTTCTACATTTTTACTGTATTTCTTTTTTTTTCCTTTTGAAATTGACATAATCCCTCTGAACACTGACTAGCGACTCCAGTCTCCCATCAGGGTGGAATACAAACTCTATCAATCAGCAACAGCTGCATCTGACAAGTCCCTGTCTGATACCCTAATGCCTTCCAACTGTCGGTGAAGACCCCTCCCTGTCTGCTGTTTATCACGGACCCCCGTCCCAACCAACACTGCCCCTCTACTCCAGCTCCGCTCCCTGTCCCCATTGCTGCTCAGTGGGGCTTTTATCGCACATGCCATCTTTCAGCCCGGCTGCCCCTGTGTGGACTCGACACCTCTAAAATGAGTCGCATCGATTGTGCCACAGGTGTGTGGTTGTCCCCAAGACGTGCTTCATTAATCCACAATGTTCACACCTCCTTCCTGCGTGCTTTGTATCTTAGTTGTTGTTGTTTTGTTCAGTATTTTGTCCTGTTTCTAGAGATTTAATCACTTTTTGTACCTCACGTGAGATCTGCCAGGTAGTTTATTGCAGTCTGGATCAATCCGTGCATTCAGACACTTGAATGCAAAATAAATCTGTCAACTAGGGATTATACCAATGTTGGACTTTGCATATTATCTGCTCACACATAGGTTTTAAGACATTCACTCCAGCCGGTTTTTGTTTTTTTTCTTTTTTTGTATTTGTTTTTTCAATCAAGTGTTTTGTCTAAAATGGCAATTAAAGTTTTAAAAATTTGAATACTGTCTTAGTTGTTATTTACATTGTGATTACTTTTCTTTGTTAAAATGTTTGATATTTGTAATTCACATCA